AGGGCGGAGCTCTGTCGCCTGCAGAAGTCTCATTCAGTGCATTAAGCGCACAGACATTGGCACTTTGAATCTCATCGCCAAGAAAAACACAAGCCATCAGACGTGCGTGGGGTCATACATCCCAGTCCAATCTTCGGGATTCTTTCCCGTTACGCCAGCTTTTAGGTGTGCAGCAATGTCGTTTTCTTGTTAGGGCCTTCTACGTCAAGTGACGCTAAACGGTGCTACGACAAGCACCCCTTCAGGGACATTTGCAACCCAGTTTTCCAAGTCTCTCCTAATTTTTTCTTCTAGGGATGGTCGCAAGCGCAATGACTGTGTGCAACAGGGTTTTGCAAATGGGGTATATAGGCCGGTAGGCTTGTGAAGTTCTCATCCCAAGCAAGGGCATTTTAAATAATTAGCGAAAATACGACAGCGTAAACTCAGAAACAGCTCAGGAACAAGTCAGAAAGATTCAAAACATCAGGGAAGATCATACAACGCAGAAAAAAATCAGGAACGTTCGAAAAACCTCACCATGCTCCACTACGTCCTCGCCGTCGTGAGGGGCCTCCTGCTGGGGGTACGAAATGTGGGCGGCTGTGTAATTAATCACCTGTGGTGGGTGGTCTGCTACTTTGCAAGTCTGAGCTGTTTGATCAGCTTTATGAGTGCGGCGTGGGATTGCCACGCCCTCTGTCTCATCTCCGTGCTCGGCTTCGGTATGTCCTCCTTGGCTGCGAGCTATTGGTGAGACGCTGTATAATTGCAAACCTCTTGGCCGTTGTCCTCTCGGTATGCGGCCTGTCTTTAATCAGCGCTGTAGCGGACAAACCCGGTGGCTTGTGTAGCAAGGCCCTTTGTCGCATTTGCCTCGGCCGCGTTTGGGTCGATGCAGCAATTCGCATGTTGAGTCTCAGTGGCCGTTGTGGCCCATGCATGTTCCTTGTGCACAGGCGGGGAATAGGGGACCCCGTTGCATGTCGAGTCTCCTGTTGTTCCGAGGTCAGCACAGGTTTCTCCTCCTGCCTCACTTCGTGCTTCTTTGCATCATCAGCAGTCAAAGCCTCCGGAGTCGCATGCCTCTCGTACCAGTTCCAGCCGGGCCAAGTGCTCGTGTGAGTTGTGCATGGTTGTGTGTTCTACTGTGCACCGCTGCCTGGGGATTGCCGTTCCGCACGCCGCGCCGGCAGTGCAAGAATCCGTGATGCTACCAGGCCTCGTTTCCTTTGTCGTGCGCCCTCCGTCGGTCCTCGCGCCCCTTTTTGCCTTTGCCTTCTGTTGCCGACGGCGGCTCTGCGTGGCCTGTGGACCTTTGCTGTGACCCTCTGCTAGGGGGTGGCGGTGGCGCCTTTGCGACAAAGCGCCGTCGCAACGAGGCACAAATATTCAAGGAGCTTGGTAGCACTGTAGCCGAGCTTGCCAAAACCGTCCAGGAGCTCAAAGGTTCCAATCCAGGGCCTCGTCCTCGTGTACGACGCCCTCGACGTCCAAAACCTGCTGAGCTTCGCCGTGTTGGCACTCCTGCGTCTCAGCCTGCCGCCCAGTGTAGCTTATGGGAGCAGTTGAAGCCGTTGTTCTCTCAAGCCGTTTCTGCAAGCCAGCCGCCGTCCGACGCTGCTGTCCGCAGTGTCCTTTGGAAGGTGTTTGAAGACTCGGCTTTTCCTGCTGTGGCACCTGTCATGCCCCGACCTGCAAAACCCCCTAGGTCCCCTATAGAAGGTTCCTAAGGCCCCTAACCCTAGTGGGTGCTGCAGCGCCACGCCTGGTACTTCAGAGCCTGGCCCGACGCCGAGGTTGGAACTGCTGTGTACGAGTCTTGCACTTGCGTTGCCGCTGCTGCTCACAAAAGTAGCAAAAAACACACACAAGAACCGCACCCATCACTACTTCCGCCCCGCAGTGGGGCAGCTCCGCCGTTGCTGCTGTCGCCAAGCCTGCCCTCAAGCCAACCGCCGCCTCCGTTGGTGACCCAGCCGCTACACACTGATGCGGACGGTGACCAGGCTATCCCCACCCGACTCCTCAGGCGTGTCCTCTAAGAAACGAGCCCAAAGCCCTGAGGCCGTTACCTTGCTGCCTGGCCATGCGCACTTCGATGACACTGTGCTTACCTCGCTATCGCCACGGCGATGGCGGCTTTCTCGAAGCCCACTCCAAAGCCCAAGGATCTCGAGGCCAAAGGTAGGTTGCAAGGCTACCTCCGTTGCCAGGCGGCCAACGAGCTCCGTAACCAGCCTGCGAAGTACGCTGACGCTTGTCCTCAAGGGGTTGACATTTTGCTAAATCTACTTTCTACTGCAGGTGTGCGGGCAAACGCTGTCAGGTTGCACGCTTTGGCATGCTCCTTGCGTTGCCAGCTCAGGGTGTGGACTTGGAGCCCTCAACTTTCTAAGTGGATGCTGTACATCGTCGGCCCCCCGCGCACCAAGAAGCAGAAGGGCAAAAAACCAGGAGACTTGACCGCTATGCTTAATGCTGAGGCCAGGCGCGCTCGAGGCCTGCAGTCTTACAAGAAGTTTGTTGCTGGCCTGAAGGCCAAGAAGTGGCAGTCCTCTGCCTGTAGGCCGGCAGAGAACACTCCCCTCGTCGTCTGTGCTGAGTTTGAGTCCGGTCCCCAAAAGAGCACTCGCCACACTTGCGAGAGCTGTGGCCACACCGCTGCCCTGACAGAGTTCCGTCGGTACCCCTGCAAACTGAGACACCCTAAGGTCTCGGTCTACAGCTGGCACGTTTAGACTAAAGGTACCCAGTTTGCTGACGCTCACGCCCAACGTATGCAGCTCAAGATGTCTGACTACTTTCAGTCTCCTACTGGGCGGGATGCCCGGAAACGCGCTGTCGCCCGATGGACAAGCAAGCAAATTAAAGCCAAGTCCCTGGAGCAGTCGTGACTAGCTCGCCCTCTCCCTGACCTCCCGGTTTCCTCACGCTCAATGTTACATGCCTGACTAAGGACCGGCTTTTGGAAACCTTGCGTGAGGCTTCGCGTGTCGGGGCGCAGTACATGCTTTGCAGGAGACCTGGCACCGGCATAGTCCTCACTGAGCGTGTGTTTTGGCCCGCCAATGGGGTTGGCGTGCGGCATTTAGCCCTCCCACCTTGCAACGCGCCAACAGCGTGCGGCAAGGAGGGACCGCTCTGTTGTGGTGGCGTCAAGACAACTCCGCTCCGATGCAGTTTCCTCTGGCCCCCGATGTTGCCCACAGAGGCTTTGGTCGCGTCTTACCGACTTCGCTGTCGTCAGTTTCTACAGTGATGCTTCCAGGGTGGATCTGCCGACTGTCTCTAGCACCCTGCGCACCACGCTGGAGCTGCGGAAACCTTGTGTGATCGTCGGCGATTTCAATTTCAGACCTGCTTGCGGCGACTTAGCCTTGGCCTTGGGCGGGACGCTGTCTCCTGTTGTGCGCAGGATGCAAGGCTCTGACCAAGCCGCCCCTTCGCATGCTGTTGCTTTCACGGCGTTCCGGTGGAGACGGCCTCCACTTCTTGTCGTCCTCTTGCTGGTGTGCCTCACCACAAAGCCGTGTGTTATCAGATTGCGTTGCCTGTCTCGCAGGGTCCTGAGGTCGCCATGCCCTTTTCGTGCTCCCCACTTCGTGTCCGCGCTGCGTACGTTTGGCTTAAACGCCCTTCGCCGGTGCAAGCCCAACAGTTGCAGCAAGCCGAAAAACATAAAAATCAAAGTTCAACAACTCTCAGAACACGGCTTCTCAAAAGTTGCGCAAGTGCGGAGAGCGTCCTCCATCACATGGTTCTTCAGAGCCTGGCCAGATGCCAATGCCGGTCCTGCGCATTACCAATCCGGTATTTGTGTTGCCGACGCTCAGCCAAGCAAAAGCAAGCGCACCCGAGTTTCGCCTCTCAGCATCGCTGCCCCTCAATAGGGATCTGCCACTTCTGTCGCTACCAGCAAAGAAGTTTCCAAACCCGAGGGAGTTGAACCCACGCCTGGAGCCGCTGACGAAAGCGGCGACGCTGTCATGCAGAATGAGACTAGCAGCGAGCCCAAGAAGAAGAAGCGCGCGCACAGCACGCCTCCGGCCGTCACCCTGTTGCCGTGTACCACCCACTTTGTTGACACCGAGTGTGGTGGTTCAGGTGATTGCGCTTACCTCGCCGTCGCTATTGCCATGTCTGCCTACTCCAAGACAACCCCTGCTGCCCAGGACTTGGCGCCGAAAGGCCGTTTGCAAGGTTACTTGAGATGTCAGGCCGCTCGTGAGCTCTCAAATAATCCTGACAAGTATGGTAGCGCGTGTCCTGCTGGCGTTGAGGCCTTCGCCAAATGCACTTGCCAGCTCTCTGCACTGCCAGCTCCGCGTTTGGACTTGGAGCAATAGTCTGTCAAAGTGGTGCTGTACATCGTCGGCCCTGCGCGTACTAAGAAGCAAGCGCCCGCGTGGGCCCCTCCAGCACAGTCGTAAGCTTCTCCCGTGCCTGTGCGAAGTTTCTGGTCCCCGCCAACTGTCTCAACCGCACGCTGCCTCTTTGCCGAATGCCCGCGACTGCAGGTCTCCGCAACTCTCTGCAGCAGCAGTATGCCCTGCCGCTTGGCTAGTAGGCCGTTCAGCTGAGAATTACTGCCACATCCGGATGGGTTATACTGTCGGCTCCAGCCCAACTCACCATGGCCGTGTTCAGGCACAGATTGCTTCTTGCCTCCTTTGCGTCGCCGTCGCCGAGTTTGGAGCAACGGTCGGGCGCGCCGGACTGATGCTCAGGCTGAGCGAGAACTGGCTTATCCAGCCTCTTGTGCACTGCCAGGCGGTTGCCGCCGCATGCCTGCTTTAAGACCCTAAAATTCTAATTCTGATCCTTTCCCCCTTTTTCCGTGTTCGCGTTTTAAGGTTTTAACCTGCCTCTACGAAAGTGCAGCCTTCCGTGCACTGCCAAGCGGTTGCCCGCTCTGCCTGCCTTGGGACCCTGAGACCCTAATCCCGCCTGCCTTTCCCCGGAGCCCGTGTCTTCAGGTCTCAGCCTACTCGATATTTGAAGGGCTGCCTTTCGAAAACTTCGAACAGATTTCATCCATCAAATTAAATCACATCAAAACCTTCGTTAACGAGCTCTCATATTCGGAGGACGTTCAAGTAAAATTCAAAGAAAAAATCAAAAAGAAATGGTTTTGAAGTGAGCTTCGGTCCAGTCTTGTTGAGTTTTGGCCGAGTTTCTTGGCTTGAGTTTTTTTCGTCGTTGAATATTCTTACATTTTCCATTTCGTGTCGGGGTGAGAACATCACAAGGGCCTGCATGAGTTTAGTTAGTGCTTCATTGAGTGTGGTACCCATGGTCAGTTTTTAATGTTAGGCCTGTTGATGTGCACGTAGGCACATCCGCGGGGGTGCAGTGCTCATGTCGCATTGTTCCCATTTTTTTTCGCAGTTGCCATTTGGCTTGTACCTGGTCATGTATCATAGTAATAATTCACCGCCTTGAGATGATAAGATCCTCATCTCACGCCGCAAGCAAGGAACCCAAATGTCTTAAAAAACAAAGCAACGAGGAACGTAGATATGAAGGTAAGCCCTTCGCGAAAGTATTCAGAGCTTTGCATCGTCGAGCAGGATGGTTCTGGAAAGCGCTGCAAAGCTAAGCGCTGCCTGCTCCGGTCCCCAATGCCCGTCCAATGCATTCAGGCCTGACGCACTGCGCCGATTTGTGTTTGAGTGTGGGGTTTGGAATCACACACATTTCCCGAAACAATCACTGCGAAATTCTGGCATGGACTTGTAGTTCTTGAGCAGCTCCGTAAGCGTGCCAGACATGCCTCTGGGAAAGCCACACGGCGTGCAGTCTGCAAGGTACGATGTCATGTACTGTTGGCTGACTGGCACAATGCGACGTGCCAGGGGGACCTCTGCTTGCAGTATGTTTTGTGCTGCTGCCAAGATGTAGTTGACAAATCTTCTCAGCCACCATGTGGCACACCAATAAGCTCAAGCTAGTCATCTCCACTTAGGAGAGTGATCGAGACGGCGGACCTTTGCCCCCCACCAAATGGGGATTTGATTGCAGCCTGGCTCGCACCATCCATCACCATTCCCAGCATGTCAGGAGCTCGCAGTGCTTTGCAGACTGAGGTAGAGATGCTTCCTTTGGACAGTGATACCTTGCCATCCGTGAGAGACGTGATGCGCGGCGAGAGGTGCTCCCTACTGCAGGCTGGAGTTGCAATGCTGCTCTACGCAATCTGCCAGACTTCACTGCCTATCATCATGCTGATGGTGATCCGCTGCGTGGAGACCAATCAGGCAAATGATTTTCAATGGCTAAACGAATGGACGACCGTGGACTCCATGATCTACTGGATAGTGGCATACTCGGTTTTTCAAGCAACTGCTGCGGTTGCCAACCACTGGCAGCTGCATGCCTCATTCCACATCGGTCAACGCGTCCGGGCTCAGCTGATCATGTTGGTGTTTCAGTAGCTTAGCCGCAAGAGGCGTAAAAAAAGCAATCAGAAGAGCTTTGAATGCAGCGCGCTACCGCATGTTTGGCCGAGGAAGGCTCTTCGTGTAGACCTGCGTGCAGGCTTGGCAGCATACTACCGCTGACTGCGTGCATTCCAAATTCTGCAGGCCGTCAGTTGGCCACACGCTGACGCTGATGGCGTCAGACTCGCAGACCCTTGTTGGCAACCGGCATGCAGACATGCAACTGTGCGCAAGTTGCAGTGCCATCAGCAAAATGTGCGAATAGGTGGTCTGTGAGATGTATCCTAGCGGCCTAGCATAGCCCGACAGCAAGACAATGGAAATGCAGAAGGTGATGCAGTTTGCCCTAAGGAAGTTCTTGGAAGCGATGCCCTTCATACACAAACTTTGGGGATCTCCGTAATGCACTCAGCAAAATGCACTCAGCAATAGAAGCTTGCAGACTCAGAAGCAGCTATTTGTGGATTATAGGCATGTCAGGCTGCAGATTCTGATTGCTGGCATTGTCCTCGTGTCGCTGGTGGACGTGAGCGCTCTGTGTGGCATAGCAGTCCTGGTGCTCGTGATTCCCATGTCCAAACATCTAGCAAAACGTATGCAGAGGCCATACCATCTTGCATCCCAACAGTGCATCCAGATAATGGGATTCTACAGTTGCCAGGTTTCGTCAGCAACATCTCCGATTCACGGACCAACGAGTCCGGATGTGTGTCGAGCTGCTTGAGGGGATTAGGTGCATCAAATTCTTTGCTTGGGAGAGGCCATATCTTGAACGTGTGTTTGAGAAGCGCCGCAGCGAGATGCATTGGGCTATGAGGGAGTCACTGGTCTATGGTATTTCCATGCTGGTTACGGTATTGGCGCCGACGCTGGCGTTCGCTTCAACTCTGGTTGCCTTCTCGCTGACGGGTTCCCATGGTTCTTTTTCGGCTACGCGTCTTTTTGGTACGCTGGCACTTCTGAATGCCTTGCGATTCCCAATCATGGACTTGGGTTCCATGCTAGCGTCTGTAGTTGCACTGCGTACGTCTTGGCAGCGGCTTCAGAATTTTATGGACCATGCAGAGGCTGGCATCCCTGTGGCTGAGTTGGAAGACCAGACGCAGCTAAGGATGGAGAACTGTACATTTAAATGTCTCGCGGGTGCTGAGGAGTGCTTTCAGCTCTCAGTGCCCACAGCGCTGACAATGAAGCGGGGTGATCTTGTTCTGGTTCTCGGCAAGGTTGGCAGCGGCAAATCTACTCTGCTGCAAGGCACGGGCTGGTGCTGGATGTGCTGGTAAGCTTGTCCCGTAGTAGCTTGATCTTGATCCTAGCTTGTTTTTGGAAGCCTAAGCCCTGCAGGAATCTTAGGAGAGATTCCCTATTCGGGTCGGGTGGCGGTGAGGAGTGGCATCGCCTATTGCGCTCAACAGCCATGGATTCGAAATGAGTCCCTCCGCGATAACATTCTCTTTGGGGATGAGCTGGACCTGGACTGGTATAACACTGTCTTAAATGCTTGTGGTCTTGGCCCCGACTTGGAACAGCTCCCTTACGGAGACCAAACCGAGATTGGGGAGCGAGGAGTTACTATCAGCGGTGGCCAGAAGCAGCGGGTAGCTTTGGCCCGTGCCGTCTACCAACGCTCATGCTCACTGGTGATCCTAGATGATGTTTTTTCCGCTCTGGATGCCCACACGTCAAGCCATATCGTTTCGGCCCTCTTCAAAGGGCCGCAGGCGCTTTTGCGGAACCGCGCAGTTCTTATGGCATCACATCACACCTCTTGTGCTCCAGAGGCTCAGCGAATTCTGCTTCTAGGCTCGGTGTCTGTCCAACAGTTGAAGCCAACCAAAAGTGACATTGTGACTCGCTTCTCCTGGCAAGGCAAGGTTCAGTGCATTGTTGGATGTAGCACTGTAGCACACAGTAGTTACCCTCTTGAGACAAAACATGAGGAGAGATGTCAGGACTACTGCAGTCTGCAGCCTGAGTGTGTTGTTGGTTGTAACCAGAGGCCAGAAGGATGCTTCAGCGCCGCAGTCGCAGTCCTCACTGCTCTTCGAGGGCGACTGGCTGGAGCTCCGCAAGCAAGCAGGGCTGCTTTCGATCCTTGGTCATGTAGCACGGCAGCAACTGGACCAATGACCACTGATGATCTGACATTCCCTAGCCGTTGATGTTGGACGATTACACTAGACTCTTGCGGGTTGTGCATTGGAGGAAGCCTCTGCGCACTCAAACCTCAGCGGGTTAGCCATCCAGGGTGCTGCAAATCAAGGCTCCTGCCTCGGAAGATGCCTTGCAGAAGGAGGAGTGGTGAATTCGCATGCCAAGCCCTTTGCTTGTTTTTTTTTTTTTTAAGTGCTGAGCTGCGCACATCTCTTGCAGGAGGTTGTTCCACCAAAGCAGTTGGCAGAGCTCGTCACAGAACAAACTGCCAAGCCCAAGAGCACCTCAGCTGCTGCAAGCTGTATCCTTGCATGGTGTGCCTTCTTCGTGGATGCAGCGCTCGTTCTCGCTATTTTGCCAGCGCACGGTACTGCAAAACCAGAGTGCGTCGACAACCAATACTAGGTAAAATACTGGCGAGAGTAATCATGTTGTTGTTGGCAGTCCTTATTTTACTCTTGGCTGTAGGATGAAGGTTCTGAAGCATCCAGTTTCTGTTGGACCTACAGGAAGACTTTGAGTCCGGTAGCCGACAACAGTAGCAAAGGATCATGCTGTCAGGCATAGTGGCATTGTGGTAGGTAGAAGCAACCTGATCGCATCACACTAGCATCCTGGCTGCAGAAGTAAGTCTTAAGTAGCGTCGCCAGTACCATGTCGACCTCGATGACTGGTCCCCGCCTGTGATTGATGCAATCGAATCGCAGGTCTCACCTCACTTCGAAATATGCCGCAACGAATACAAGACATCTCAACCCTAAAGTCGCAAAGTGGTCAAAGAAGTCTAGAATTCGTGATTGGTTGTTACAAATAGACGTCATAGAATGCCTCGCGGCTGAGGCATGATGAAGGCGGAAGAGACCGCAGACAAGATCTCTTGGCGTACCATCAGAATGTACTGTCAAAGCTGTGGAGGAGATTGCAGACACAATTGTCTGCTGCCAATGCCAACCTCAGTGTCAAGAGTCGCATGCTTGTAAATTCGTGCTGCCGCCATGGCCAAAACGCAGTCAGACACGCTTCAAACGCAGTCAGACACGCTTCCGACTGGAAGGATTTCCTTGGGTTTCAGCGATCTTGATGAGTTCCCTCTTCGAGCGTCTGTCACTTATCTTTCTGGATTGGTGGCTGGCCAGATGGGCAGAAGAGGCCGGGACCTTCGCTGCAAGGAGGCGTTCAGCCCTAGGGCTTCTTTGAAGGCTGCAGCTGCTGCCCATTGAGAGCTTCCTACTGGTAACATCCAACGAATGGAATGAATTTCCTTGATATCTCATGTCACGTGCTCGCCAGTGAATGATGTCAACTGCTTGCTTCAGGGCTCCGAAGATGATCGAGCCATGTACTTTGCAGTTTACTTTGCCACTGTACTGGTGGTGGTCGTCTTTGTGTCCATCACGCGCAGCTAGGCCTGCATCTTCGCAGAGCACCCTGCCAGCCCCCCAATCATCTCTTGTGCTTGGAGCTGTTCACCTCAAGGCATTCTTTTCTCCATAGCGACGGTGCATGCTGGACGCCGGCTCTTTGAACGGATGGCCTTGAAGGTTCTTAGGGCACCCATGTGGTGGTCGCAGCCTCAGTTTTTCGCCAACCCACTGGGGGTTCCATGACCAACAGCTTGTCGCTGGCAAGCTCCCCTATAACGACTGCCCAGGTGTTTAGTTGAGTCGATTTGACTCACTTACTGTAGCGGAAGCTTAGCTGGTCATGCTTAGTCAGCTCCACATGGTCCACGCTGGCACATTCGGTATGCATATGCCTTCTGACTGTAGGTGGGATACAACCCCGCTGGGACGTGTGCTAAATCGATTCAGCTTGGGACTAAGCAAGTGTGCGCAGCGGCAGGGATCAAGGTCGATGAGCATCAGCTCGCTGGTTCACTCTCTCATACTCTCTCTCTCTCTCTCTCTCTCTTGTTCTCTCTGGCTCGTTCTCTCTCTCCCTCTCTAACTTCCTTCCTTTCTCCAAACAGCCTTAGTGATGTTGGATTTACCTCATGGTCGCCTCATGGTCTTGTCTGATGAGGCTTTGACACAGAGAACACTGACACCACGCTCGTCACCAAGCTTTTCCCTGCGCTGCTTTCCCTGAGTTGGTGCCCTGGCCAGAGAAAAGCTCTTAGTAAGCTCGTCGAGATAAAGCCATGGAGATGCCAGTAGTCTGCACAGTCTTGGAAAGTTCTGCAGGTGCTTGGGGGCTGTGGGCGTTATGGCTGGTACTCTGTGGCCATATTCGATGCTGATGATCCCAGCTCCAGCAGCCTGGCAAGTCATGGCATCGTGAGCTGAACCCGCAAGCATGCTGCATGAGAAGCTGTACTCTCCAGGTATTCCTCTATGTCATCCTCTTCCAATTTGCCAGGAAGTCTATCCGGCAATTTCAGCAGCTGGACAGCGTTTCCCGCAGCCCGATCCAGTCACTCTATTCCGAGGTCTTGAACGGCATCGTCAGCGTGCGTGCCTTCTCAAGCGAAGGGCGATACAACTCTCGTCTGGCAGACTGCTTGGACATCAATTCCGCAGCTGTACTCACCTTCAACACTTCCAGCCGTTGGCTTGGAGTCCGTGTTGAGCTGTTAGCTTCATTGGCATCAGGTCTGGTGGGGCTGGGATGTTGGCTGCTTCGCGAAGAGATCTCTGCAGGACTTGTTGGCCTTTGCTTCGTTTGGACCACAAATCTGGCGACTTCCTTGGGGTTCAACTGCATTTTTTCAAGTCAGGCGGAGGCTGTGTTCACGTCTGTGGAGCGCATGACTGAGTATGTGTCGGATGTCCCCAGTGAAGGAGCGCACAGGGGGTTAGATACATGGCATGGGAGCAGTCCCACAGACAAAGAGGCGCAGGGGAACTTGCTGCCGCTGAACGCGGGCAAGCCTAATACGCCTCTTCTGAGCTTTGAAAAGGTTTCGCTACGGTACCAGCCGAGCTTGCCATTGGCGTTGAATGCCATATCATTCGAGATTGCAACTTCTGACCGTTTTGCGGTGGTGGGTCGCACTGGATCTGGCAAATCAACACTTGCGGTGGCTTTGTTTCGGCTTTCTCCCTTGGAGTGTGGCTTTATTCGACTCAACGGAATCGATCTGGGTTCTCTCCCTCTGGATGTGGCACGAAAGTCAATTGGCATCATCACCCAAGATCCGGTGATTTTTAGTGGAACCGTGAACTACAATCTGGATCCTTTCGGCGAATTTGACAAGGCTTCAGGGATTTAATTTAGAGACTGGTACGCCGTGGCGGCGTGTATTTTCGAGGATTTTAGGTTTTTTCTGCAAGTTTGTGGCCTTCAGATTGAAAAAGCTGTACAGTTATATATGATTACAAGATACTATATGGACACCCTTTTGTTGTCATTTATATACAGAAAGCTGGTTCCTTATAAGTTGGAATAACCCTACGATATGAGCCTTATACCTTTATCGAATTACACATCAAGGAGGGTCATGTGCATGTAGCGATATACATGGCCGGTGTCATGTATCTGCATATGTCTTCCTAACGACGATCCATCAGAATATGGCTTTTCAGTTAAAAGGTAGGATCATTTTTCCCAAAACTGCCACATCCGTTGAGCTCTGTACCGCTGAACTTTATCTGTATTAAGTTCCTCTTGCATCCATACTGTTAATTTAAGGACCCTCAACATGGACCAGTAAATGAAGTCATCATAGACTCCAGAAGAACTGGTATATGTTTTTATTGCTTACGTATGCTTTATACACCCATACGTTCTGGAGCAGTCAGTGCTCACCTCTCTAGGAATAGCTTCCATTTTTGGACATCCCATGTACGAAATTGCTGAAATCCTAACCATCGCAGATCAATCGCCAGGGTGCACCGTTCGATGAGCTACAAGGATCAAAAGGGGTCCCGTGTTAGAACCTCGAAAGGCGGCTTGCTCAGAAGCTCTATCTCAAGCGCAGCTGGCAGATGCGGTGACCCTCGATACGCAGGTTGAGCAGTCTGGCTCGAACCTGCTTCTGGACAGTTCAACTTACTGCAGATTTCAGATTTTGCCGTTTGGTAGTCGAGCCTGAGTAGCCAAAGTGCAGGATGTCTTCGCACGGTGAAAGATCACGTGTCAGGTCTATTGGGGAGCGGCAACTTCTTTGCTTAGCGCGGGCATTGCTTCGCAAGCCTGACCTGCTGGTCTGCGACGAGGCGACATCTTCGGTCGATGCGGCGACCGATGCTAGGGTCCAGACATGCTTACGGACAGCGGCAGCTAAAAGAACTGCCTTGCTGACCATTGCACATCGCCTGGCAACTAGTCTGCACAGTTTTGGAATGTACTTGCAAGCATACTTGAAGATGTAGACTGAGGCAACCATTGCGGACTATGATAAAGTCATGGTGCTGCAAGCTGGCAAGCTCCTGGAGCTGGATAGTCCATCAGCCTTGCTCCAGGATCAAGCTTCCGCATTTTCCGCGCTGGTGGATTCCCTGGGCCCGCACGAGGCGGCAGGGGTGCGCATGGCTGCAAAAGCAGCTCGCCCAATTCTCTCACTTTGAGAGCTCCTTGCAGAAGTTTTCATCTGAGGAAGTGGAGCACTCACACATCATGTGCTGAAACCACTTTGTTCAAGGAAGCCATGGCAGAGTGTACGGGATCAAGACGAGCTCCGCTTCTTTACGTTCCCCTCTTGGGCTCCCATCTCATTTCTGTGATGGGGGTAGCAGTATAGCATGCTAAGCATGAAGGCCGCTGATCGTACCCGGTCAAATTTTCGACGTGGAAGATGCACGCGCACCGCGTATATATGCGGCAGGTTGAGCGTTGGCTCGCCACTCTTGCACGATGAAAAGCCATTTGCAAGGATCGGTTCTAGATGCGGTAATCATGTAGTTCAGAAGCACAGGCTCTTGAGCAACCTGCAACTACAGCGTGGCTCAAGTCACTGAGCCACATTGTGATCAATGCGACCTAGCATCATGAGAGGTGCCTCTGTATTTTTTGTCCCCTACTGCGCTTTTGGGTCCCAACCCCCATGATCTGAGCGGGCAACTCGTCAGCTCGTGTCCCTGAACAGGAATTATCCTCGCTATTTGCCTGGCCCTGGGCGCTGGCACCGGCGCATTGCCACCTTGGCCTTGAGCTTAACCTTTTGCCGCACTACTTGCAGCTGCGCCAGCCTTGATTTGAAACAGCTGCTGCCTATCAAGCGCTTAGATGATGTGGGACTGCAGAGAAGACACATGCCAGCAAATTTACAAGCTGCCCACACCCACACTTTGCATTCAGCCCCGGGTGGCTCAGGTGGATCTTGAACAACGTCAAGCCGGAAGGTGAACCGCAGAGCATGGGCAGCTACACCATCATTACCTTCTCAGAGGCCCACGGTTGACCATCTCTCGTTCACAAAGATGGCTGGGGCAATGGTCACTAGTACTGTTGGAAGCAAATGTCGCATCACAAGACTTCATGAGTTTTCAGCAAGGCACAGCAGAAACGCTTTGCAATTGACTCGCACGGCGAGCCGACCGACCGCTCCAAGTTCCATGCCGCGCTCAAGGCGCTGAAGGACCGGTAGCATGAGTTTGGGTGAAGCTGAAGCTGAACTGTTGTGCAGTCTTGTGACATGATGCAACCATGTAGCAGGAAGAGAGGATGCAGGGAAGGCACACGACGGGCGAGACGGAGGCCCGCTACACAGCGATCAGGAGGGGCAGGTGATGGCAGATGTGGTGAAACTTCATCGAGCTGTGTCGCTCGACTAGCTGGCGTGCGGTGTGAGCCCAACCTGATGCATCACCCTACCCTTCTACTATTACATTCTAACCCATGCTCAGCAAACCTCATCAGATCATGGCAAGAACTTCTTACAGTCAGTAAGCAGACACACCGCCAGATGATGAGAAGTATGTAGCACCGGCAATGGCCGCTGGCAAACAGAACAAGCTCAGGAAGACAGTCTGTAGCAAAATCGTAGCGTTCAGCGCACGGAGGGGCGCGCGGATTTTCAGCGCACGGATCCGCCGCCTTTTTGCTGGGTGGGCAGAGTTTATGTCATGACTGCATGCTGCACAGTCCACTATGACAGGCCCTGCGGCCGACCGTGACGCCTCGCTTGCTCGTCTAAGCCGGCTGTGTCCAATAGCTCCAATGCTTGGGGACTTGGGTGTATCAATTCAGCAGTTCGGAGACTCTTTGCGCAATAGTCCTTGTCTTGCCTCTTCCTTAAGAAAGCGAAACTTTTGACGATACCTGAGTGCATGGTAGTTGAAACTTGTTGGCAGAAGCCAAGCAGACATCTGAACTAATTAATGGTTTCATTCTCAAACAAATCTGAACATGCGGCATCGGAATTGGCCCGCGGTTCAGGGTCTGCTTTGGACGTTTAATTGCAGGCTTTAATGGCAAGTCTGCGGTGTACAAAATCATGAAGGCGTTCCTGCTCTGACTCATGACACAGAAGAATGAGTGCACAGCGTGCTGGACAAAGACGTGGTCAGCCTGTATTTGCAACCAGCATCACCAGCAGCTAATGCATAGCTAAGCACTGGGCGTTGCTGGCCTGAGAGACATTCACATGACGAGCACGATGTGGGTGGGCTGCTGCTGACAGTAGTTTTCAGCTTGTATTTGATTAGTCACTGTATTTGGCAGTTCGGCAGGTGAGTGGGATCTGCCAGAGCCCCCTATCAACATGCCTCCGGTTGTGGCAGCTGCTTTGTCTCAACGCGCGTGAGTGCCGGTTTCAGAGTCGGCAAGCAGGCGATCCGTGACAAGTCAGCCCTCCTCATATGATTTCTGAGAGAACTTCTGCAGGCTGACAGCATCAGGCATGGCCTGCGGAAGTGATGCAGGCCCGATTGGCAGATGCATGTGATGCAGTGGTCGGAGGCAGAAGTAGTCAGATAGTCAGATCCTCATTTGGCATTTGCCCGTGAAGCTGCTTCATGGTCAGCTTTCCGAGAGGCAGTGGGCGGCTAAGCTGCAGCGCAGCCGACCGCAAAGGTTCTCGTAACGGAGAAGACTAGACCAGAAGTGAAGTGCCGAATTTCTGCTCAGGGCCTGCGCCAGCTCGATCTGTGCGTGCTTTGGCGGCATTCAATGACCTTTTGCGACCTTAGCTTGCCCAGTTGTGGAGTCTGGTGGATCAACTAGGAGGTGAGCATGTTGTTTGCTTCCAGGGGCCTTGGACTGGCCGCTGAGCAAGGAGGAGAAGCGACATTGCGCCATGAAGCTCTTTCAGAAGGAGGTTGAGGCAAAGGCTTCTTTCAGGCTGTTGTTCCTGTGTTTCCAGAGTGCAGCACCAAGCAGGCATCCGCTGAGCAGCTCGATGATCAGTCCGATCAGATCGACGAGCTGCAGGCAGAGATCAAAGCCGGGGCCCCACAGGGAAGCAGAAAACTCAGCTTTATTTGTATTGTAGCGCTCATAACCCCATCATGCCTCTTCACCAAGGTGCTGCGGCGGTTGTCCACCTGCTCCACGGCAGCTGGCTCCCTGTCGCCCGCCTCGGGCGAGGCTTAGTCTGCATGTAGGTAGCAGAATTCACGGTCGATAAGTCAAGGGCGTTCTGCCACAATCCGAAGTGTTACTCACTACTGCATGCTGACTAGGGCCCACTCTTCGAAATGCTGCTGATGTATTGATTGCAGCATACCTCATCTGGTGGAAACCTTGGGATGCGTTTCACCACCTCTCAGGCGGCTGATCCCAGTGCTGAGGCAGGCGTCATAGTCATTACCAGTGTTTGACTCCTTGCGCTGCGCTGGTGCTTCACTGCGCCAAGAGCATAGCAGTGCTTACTTGCGCAAGTGTTCTGCCTCCGGCATGAACAAGAACTGTCGCACATATAGTTGTGTCGGGATGGTGCAGAAAAGCAGACGTGTCGTCGGCTCGGAGGCCGAGCTCCGGCAGGAGGGGCCTGTCGAGGTCCGGGATCGCCTGAGCACAGATACTTTGCTTCAGCCAGGTGAATACAGAGCGTGCTCCAATGTGTTCCAGCATGCAGGCCACCCTGCTGGCCGCAGTGGAAGCCTATGACACAGCCTGCCAAAGGCTGGGACGTGTGCTTGATCATGTTTTCGAGTGTTGGGAGGATCTTTGTTCAGCATGTTCGGAAGATGATGGCAACAGTCTTTTGACTGAGTGCAGCTTGCCGTGCCGCTGGTGCATTGTAGCGGAGCCATGCCGGGAGATGGGACTTGCCAGTGCAAATCATTAGCATTCCTCTTTTGCAGCTTGGGCAGGAGCCGCTCACAGCCCAATCGATCGCCGTGGCGTGGGTTGCAAGATGTCACCCGCCGGTAGGAACACCGTTTCAGTATCCCGTAGAAAAAAGCCGTGTTGCGCAGACTGATCCAATGCCACTGCCATCTGAGGGAGCAGATCGCCAAGTTCTATGGCGGTTGTGAAGAGCACGCAGCAGATTTTTGGGGCTGTGTGGCTGAGAAGGACCCGTGCTAAATGACTGCATGACTGCTGCCAACAGCGGCTGTCCCAGCGCTGCTGATCTATTTAAGCACTTGCCCTGATCCTTTATTAAGACATTTGTTGGCCTGGACGTGGACCGAGCCAGGATGGTCTCACTCCGCTGGAGGCCGCCATGTGGCTGGCGAAGTCGCTGCCTGCTCCAGTCGTCATGGATGGGCGGGCAAGGCGCAAAGGTTTCACGTATGTCGCTGTGGCTGTGGGAGGCATCCAAGGAGTCATGCCGTTTGTTGCGGTGCACCAAAGGACCCAAGGAAGTCTTCAGTTTGCAGTTTGCCGAACGTGCGTTCAGGCGCTGGCGAGGTGCGCTGCTCCGCAACAACCAGGGCCGCCCAGGCTTTGAGAAGATGCGGGCCCGAGCGCAAGCTGCTGACCAGGCCACTTTCACAAACTTGTGAGGCATTCAAATCTCGTGGGCTTATTGAACACAGGGCTCGCCATGCTTGCCTTAGCAGAGCTGCTTGAATGAATGGGTCTGCACATTGGTGCTTCTGACCCTAGTCCCTGCAGAATTCTACAAGCAACCTTCATTTCCTCTCATGACCCCTACGTACCCCTAAGGTCCTCAAGAGAATCCATAGTTCGAAGACCCCTGAACCCTCAAACCTATTCTACATCCCTAGAACCTTTGACCGACTAAGGCCCCTTTTTGGAGAAACAAATCCCTGGCACTTTCGTAGGGTATAAGCTCAATCAAAACGTTTCTAGGGCATACTGCCACAGTTATCCATTTTTTTTCTCAACAGGTGAGCTATGGTGCAAACTCCTGGTATCCCCCTTTATAGCAGTCCCCTCTATTATCCCCTTTAAGGAGTTTAGACTATAGGTCAGGTAGACCACCCCTTTGCCGGAGGCGGCCGTGCTCCGCCTGGAGGCCGAGCGCGAGCTGCGGCGAGCTTTCCGAGGCATTATACTGGGGTTATATATATAGGCATTATGGAAAAGAAAATGGAAACTACTAAAATGGGTTATATAGGGTACATATTGGAGATATGTTGGGGGTTATATAGGGATTATGGAAAAGAAAATGGAAACTACTATATTATAATATAGGGGTTTTATAGGGATCATAGGGTACATATTGGGGTAATATAGGGATTATGGAAAAGAAAATGGAAACTACAATATTATATTGGGGTTATATAGGGATTACATAAAAGCCCTTGATCCATGGATTCTTTTTTTTTTGGTGTAGGCTTCGGCAGATGTGTAGGTCCTTAGGTTTCGAGGGGATTTGAAGGATTCTGAAGGTTTATGATGATGCTGTTCATTTTTGCATTGTAGTTCATGCGTTAACGGCAGCGTTTGAGCTGTTTTGCCCAATCGTACGGGAGGACTTTTTAAGTTAGGATTTTTCTTTTTTGGTGGTCCTTTGGTCCTTTGGTCCTGTGGTTCGGAGGTCCTCTGTCCCCGGGTCCTTTGGCCTCCCTGCAGCATTTCGAGTTCTTGAAAGGCTACGAAGACTGGAAAACACAGCATGTGCGGCTTTTGAAAGATTGCGAATGTTGTAACTGACAGCATTTGGAGCTTTGGAAAGGCTACGAATAGGAAAGAATGCTGCTTCAGCGACTCCGGAAAATCGTGAAGAACGAAAATTACAGCGTTTGCAGACACTGAAAGACAACGAGTAGTCTGAAAGTTGCAGCATTTCGGAGTTCTTGAAAGCTTACGCATACCGTAAATGAAAGCATTGCTTTGGAGAGGCCGAGAACATGGAAATTCCAGCGTTGTCAGGCAGGAAATTACGTCAAACGCGTGCAAGAAGCTACATGTTCTTATCTTCGGCCAATTTTTGGCAAATGGGGGGGCTGCGCCCTCCCCAACCCCCCCGCATTTTGAAAATAAGGGTGCAATTCTTAAGGTGTGCAGGAAGGTGCATTTACCATCACTTCCCGCCTCCAAGAACCCCTTGTGACGCTACCAAATGATGAGTGTTGCCACAGGCTCCGCATACCCCCAAATGCTACGTTAAAAAGCGCTCGTAGCCTCCAAGGGCACCGCTGGGGACGCTGCTCGACGATGAGCAACAAATGTCAATGTACCCAAATGCTACTTTTTACAATACTTGCCAGTCCGGCATCAGAACCCCCCCAAAGAAATAATGCCCAAAATAATTCCGACTCCATTACACGGTGGAGGAAAAGGAGCTAGCATCGTGAGGACCAAGCGATAAACTTTAAACATCATACAACATTGGCGGTTGACAGCCTATGTCAGAGGTCCTCCTGTCCTAACGCAGGCGACGAGTTCCTCGAAACTCCGGGCTTGTCGGAAGCCATTGCAGCTGGGCTTGACTGCGTTTCTGCCCCTGCGCCGTCAGATGCTTGTCAGCCTTGAATCTTCTTGACCCCCTGAAATGGGTTCATTGCGTTTGCCCAGGTCAACATCTCGCAAACAATGTCAGGCCCCTCTGGCGAGCACGTACCTGGTGCGACGCACGTTGCTGCCCTCCTTTTGTATGGCGCCTGAACTGAAGCTGGACGGTTTGTTGTCCTCGCCTGTTTACGTGGTGACTCTTGCAGCAGTAAGGCTTGCTTCCAGGAAGCACTTCACTGGAGGAGGCGGAAGCAGATGCCTTTTGGTGCTTCTTCGAGTGTCTTGGTCTACTCTAAGGTAAGCTTGCAACAGAAGATTTCCTGTGCATTCTGGAAAAACTGGACCGCCTGTAGTATTTAGGCTTTCTAGAGGCAACCTTGAGCGGCCTGTGTGTGGTGGCTTCTGTATCAAGGTTGCAGACCAACAGCAAGCCGCCATCCACAGATCGTCGAGCAAAGCGGCTGAAGGAGTCCTCTGACAGTTCCCTGCCGCAGGTAGGCAAAGCATCATCCGGCCAAAGCTATGTCGCTGATGATTCCATTGTCCCGTATGTGGCGGTGCTTGGTTTGATTTACCAGGAGTTGCTGCGCACTTATGATGAGCCGCTTTCCGAGACCCTGTGCCTCGTTGGCAAGATTGACTCCACTTGCTGGGAATGCTGGGCTTGTACAACACTCCTGCACCACAAGATATATCACGAGCATCTCTTTGGGTGTCAGTCAACATTGAAGTCTCGGCTTTGGCCTGTAGTGCGGATCGTTCCCTTTAGGGGTCTTAGCTTGGTCCTCGTTAGGGTCCTTTATACTTTTTGGGTGCAGGTTGGTGATTTTTCTTCGTAGAGAAACAGAGACCGAGCAGAGGCAATTTAGTGAATTCAGTGTGCTTGCTGCGCAAAGTCATGGCCGTACAGCAGCAAGTGAGGAACCGTCAGGGCCTCATCTTTGTGGCCGCTCGATTGGGCGAGGCACCACCTCCATCAAACTGCTTTGACAGACCTGGCAGTGCTTCTGGCAGGGGCAATCTCAGAGACCGATCAGCGGTAATTCATGGTAATTCGGCGTTTGGGGCTGGGGTTTGGCTGGTTCCGGGCGTCCCCAAGGCACTGCTAGTCAGGCTAGTCGATGCTAGTCGCGATGCAGACCAAGAGATAAGAAGCAGTGCTGCGGTGCTGCGGCTTTGGGAGGCGCTCTTCGCCTCGGGGGGCTTCGCTGTGGAGACCTGCGCGCAGCTTTGGGTGCCCAAGGGAGGGTTTACGGGACTGCAAGGACTACTAGGCATGCTGCTGACATGAGCGCGTGGGAGCAACCGTGCGCAAGAAGAAGGCTAAGATGGAGTCTCTTCAGTAGCTCCTCTCAGCTTTGCTCAGCCTCTTAGCGGCTACCACCTCACTAGACCCTGGCAACGCCTCAAAGATGCGAGTTAGCTTGTCTAGCGAGTTGGTTGTTTCACCTTTCGCAGCTGCAATGTTTGCTCATTGCCAAAGGATGCCATGCTCGATGACTCAGAGCGCTTCGCCTTCAGCATCTCGCTTTAAATCAGGTTCTGGCTGCTGCTGCAGCTGAAGATGCCTTGTTCTTCTTCTCACAGCCTTCTTGCCGTCGTACTGTGCGAGGTGACTGGATACTCTGTGCAATGATCCTGCTCAAGCGCTTCCAGCTCTTGCGCATGACAGATGATGCCGCGCAGCTGGCCGAGGTCCGTTCTTATAGCTGAACTCCTTGTGTCCCTGGCCGTGATCCAGAAGCTAGCAGGATGTCTAGCGATTGCTCCACGAAGGCGATTTCAACACAGCACAATGCAGCTACATTCTGTTTGCGACTCCGGAATAGGCTAGCTGGCAGAATGTCCGTCACCAGCCAAAGTCTTGACAACCCCATGGAGCTTCGGCAGGTTGCCCTCCAGGTACCATCTCTAGAATTAAGAGCTGTTGCCCTCAAAACAAATAGGACACTTCTCCGGAATGGGGTGCTGTTGCCGGCCCACACTTCATCTGCATCTTTGTGTCTGCCAGCTCCAGTGTCTCAGGCGCTACAGTCCTTGCCTCGCACTGTGCCCGTTGAGCGAATCCTCCGCTTTGCCGCGGCGCTGCGCGCTGCATCGCGACGACGGCAACGCAGAGAAGCTAAGGCTGGGATGGCTGGGTGGAGATTCCTGTGGATGCGACGTCAGCGTGCCTAAACAGTTGCACCGTGTGCCGTTTGGCGGTTGTCCAGTTTTGCAGTTTTACGTTTGCAAAGCTAGGTGTAATTCATAGTATTTTAATTCCCACTCTTCTCTCTGTGACTGCTCACAAGTTTCAGGCCAGCCGAGCGCGAGTCCGATCGCCGCAAGAGCTCGCATCCCAGCCTGCAGCAAACATGGCAGCTGCTGTGTCCATTGCTGGACCTACAGTATTACTTCCAGGCTGTTTTGGTGCAGTCTTCTGCAGAGAACATGAAAAGGCCAACAAGAGATAGCTAGAGCAAATCGTGGAGCTATCCGGACATGCTGGGCCCCAGTTGGCATTGCAACTCCTTGAAAGACCAAAAAGCTTTGAGCCTTTCCAGGGAACCGGATGAGGACGTGCAGGGCCCTCTCCAGGTCCTCGGCTCATGGTTCGGCCTGGGCCTCATGTGTAAAAAGCTGGAAGCCCTGCATAGATGTTGAGCAGATCTTCTGGAGAGTTAAGACGGCTTCCGCAGAGCCTTGCAAGACTGCAGGTCGCGCAAAGGAAAAGGGGGCAGAGGTTGGAGCCTAGGAGCGTGTGTGCATGTTTGCGCATATTTGCACACGCCTCGAGCTTATGCACTCTGAGAGATTCCACCACGCACACACAGGCCCTCGAGGCGACCCGCAGCGTCGCGCGCTGCGCGTGGCCGCGCGAGAGATGCTGCCGAGCCGCTTGCAAAGCACTGTGAGGATCTGCAGTGAGCAGCTGGTTCATGGTGACGGATCGTGTGTGTTTTTTGGCATCTGCAAAGGCCACCCCAGAGCCCGTCGAAAAATGCCATGAGGAGGACCCTCAGGGTTGTTTTGAACACAGCACGACTGGCACGACTAGGATTTCTTCAGGCATCCCTCATCCTACGTGAGGCCTGAAGACAGTTCCCAGCTTATCAGGAGATGCAGCCGCTTCGCCGGCGAAACACTGCGGAAAGTTCCAAGACGGACTAGTGTTGCTCATGGCCCTGTGTATCTCGAAATGTGCTGGCAGTCCATAAGTTGTGCTCAGCCATGCATGATGATGGTTCTCAGTGACAGTGGACTGCCCAAAGTCTGTGGACGATGTTGTCCAGGTAGTTTTTTGGGCGTGCGCTCTTCTGAGAGTGTCTCTTCTAGCTTACACTGTCAACGCATTCTGACTGCAGCCGGAGATGGCGGCGAAGACCCTTCAGGAGAGTGCATGGAATCGTTATTTAGCAGTACAGGTAGCACCATCCCAGCAACGTTTTCAATTTCAGCTTAACTAAGGTGGTGCTATTTGGACTGTGTATGGCTGTCTTCCTGTGAATGTTTGGGCCTGCTGGTGCCATGGTGCAGCGGCACATTGGCCTGGCCAGTTCTGCAGAGGGACTGCAAGTGCATGGATCACTCATAATGCAAGCGTCAATGCAAGTCCAAAAGGGCGGGCTTTCCTTGCTTGCAGGGCTCGAGGCGTTGTCTTGATGAGATAAGCGCATCTGTTGAACTCTGCTTCTTGCTCTTCTCACGCGGGGGGGTGCCAATCTTCTCTTGCACTGCCCTGACAGCCAGCTTCTGCTTAGGAGTGGAGCTCCATATTTCAGAGCCCATGTCTCAGGCATGGTTGTTGTGACCTGACCGCATGTTGGACAAGTAGCCACCACTGAAACCACTGCCGAAATCACAATGCTTGGTATTAACTGGGCAGTTGGATCAACCTGTCGCTACATTGTGCTTACAAATCTGCCCTCGAACATGGACTTGGCCATGGGCTTCTCGGCTAGCACGCAGCCCAGCTAACCCAGCTGTTTGCTGGTTGTCGTTGGGCGTACTTCGGCCTTTGGCTGCTCACGGTACCTGAGGATCCCCTACGACCCCAGCAGACGTGCTGTCAGCCAGCCATGCCGGGCACATCACAGGCCAGCATGTCTTGTCCTCTCCATCTGCCATCCGCTTCTCAACCGCCAGGACTGTAGACTGAAGATCTCCTGTGTCAGCGTCTATGTAGGAATGTTGTTGCAGTCCTGCAGCAGCAAACCGCCGACGTTGATATATACTCGCGCAGCTCTGGGATCAAGTCTTTGGTGAGTTAAGCGTTGAGAAGAAATCCAGCGATGGGCACCGGAGGACTTGTGGTCTTCCGCTCTGTGAGAGGTGGGCAGAAGAGCGTCTATGCTTGCATCTACTTTCAGTGCGATGGTTACTGGCAGGACCTTGGAGTACGGTTGGCCGAGTTTCTAGATTCCTGCCTGCTCGTGAACGGGTTGGGTGCCAACCTCCCGAAGGACAAGATTGTGTGCAACGGCTTTGGCTGCTTGGTTGCGCAGTTCATCGCACAATTTAAGACCGGGCCAGGCCACCTCTACCTCTTCAGCACAGACTGCAAACTTCAAATGGAGTTCGTGTATGTTGTAGAGTACAACTGCGATGCACCAACTCCGTTGCTGTCTGTAAAATCCTGGCAGGGCCGATGCTCAACAGGGGAACAGGAAGCTGAGTTCCTGAGTCCTGCAGGCTTCCGTGCATTCTGCCAGCGAAGCGGCGCTTATGAGGACGACATCACCATGACGTGTGCACCAAAGCGAAAGAAGATTCGCATGGCCCCGCAGCCACGCGAGTCAGATGACGACACAGATGACGAACCACCCCAGAGCGTAAAGTTAGATCAGCTAGACTAAGCCAGGCCGTGTGAAATATTGGCACTGCTTGTACAGGAACGGTGCATGCAAGATGCACCTGCAAGTGCTGCACGGGAAAAGGTTGTTGAATTTCGATGCAGACATCAAGCCATCCACACATGAGGCATAGGAGAATCTCCATGACATCAGCAAGGCACTCTCAGCCGATTTGGCCAAGGCGCGGGCACTCCGTCCAGACCTCGTTTCGCGAAGAGCGACAAGGGCATGCAGCCCACATGAGAGTCTTTCACACGAAATGAGGGGTCATGTCGTTGCAGAGGTCACAGGCTCCTGGAGCAAAGGCAAGTGTTCAAGAAGCCGGGGCCCTTGGAGTCAAGGTGGCTTGTACCCAGATCTTGCATGCACTCAGGACTCAGCTTGCTGAGCACCACTTTTGCAAACTCTCATGCGTAACAGCTTTAGCAATAAGCTTGGTGCTTCTGCACTGGCCGAGGGACCAGAGATCGAATCCTTCAACCGGAGTACATCGGGTGCTCTTCATCAGCTTGGAGCGCCAGTCGAAACGAAGGCAGAGAATGGACAGTGAATATGAATCTGAGTGGAATGAATATGAATGAATCTGAATCAGGGACATCAGGATTCAGAGGGAGCATGTGACTTGATAATTTCGGCAGCATGGCAGGCTGGAGTTCCTGCAACAGCTGCAGCGCTTTCCAGAGTTGCTGAACCGGGTGCCCCGTGGGGACCACATGAGCTGTCACACAGTCAAGTGGAATCTCTACAGCCTACATGTCTGAGCTTTTGCTGCTCTGTAGCATCATATTCATGTCTGACTGTCCTTAATTACCTCAAGTGAGGGGCGCAGGGTGAGTTAAGTTTCATGGCAACTGCTGTGCGTCCGACTTATGACGTACTAGCGCGAGGCGGAGTGGATCCGAGCTGTCGATGGATCAGCTGTCCAGCTGGATGAGGCAGCTACAGCTGCTGGGGCCATTGCCGTCCACTGCAGCATTACTGAGAATCAAGTTCATACAAAGAAGCTTAGTGTGCAATTATTCTGGAATTAAGGCACACCCCAGATGTTGGCTTTGCATCGCTGCTCCTGAAGTTTGCTTCGCTTCTGTACCAGGTGCCAGTCCGTACTGTCACTCCTCTGGGAATTGAGGCAAGAGCAGCAGGGAATTTCCGCACCTCCTGTTGGCTAGAGATTTGAAACGATTGTTCCTCAGCACATAGTCCGTTTACATATTTGTATATATGCTTATGTCGCATACATGTATGCACGCGGAGGCAGCACCTTTGAGCCACAGTGCATGACATAGGACGCAAGAACACCTCGGTCGAAAGTTCTTGGCTACGTCCTCACCCGCGGAGCCGTCGGGCTGGCCCTCTCTCTGCTCCCGACTTAGCTTGGACATACTTCAAGTTTGCTAGTGAGCTCGTGAAGGCAGATGTTTCTCACGCGTTGAGGCATGCTGCCTGCGAGTTAATCGCTTTGGACAAGGACGGGAAAACTTTCTGTGCAACGGTGGAAGGCAGATTAGGCTTCACATAGCAGGTGATTCAGGTTTGCATGTTTTGTGCGTCCTCGACAGCCCACCCAAACTTTGAAGCACCCTGCCCATCAGAGCAAGTTCCATGAAAAATGCCGTGGCCGCCGAGCCGCAGGACTCGGATGATGTGTACCTTCTCTGCGAGGATGATGCCATGCCCCTCGAAGGGTGACTGTTTGTGAGAGCGTTAGATGGAGTGTTTGTTACAGTGACGTTGAGGGTGTGTCTGTGTGTGTGTGCGCGTGAAATTGTGGACTGCACAAGATTGCAAGAGGGTTTCTCAACATGGCCAGCTCAGGCCTCGGCCTGACATTGAGATTAGGGGTTGCAGGGGTTGTCAGGGTTGTGCTGGATGTCTGTTACCAGACGGAAGTGCGGCTGCATGCTTAACTCAGGTTCGCGCCGCGCTTCTCAGAGAAGTTCACGGAGCTTCTAGATGCGACCAAACTTCACGACCCTTGGTGGGAGGCCTTCCATAATCAAGAGTCAAGCAGCCATGTCAGGAAGTTAATGATGGTGACTACGGGTCACTGGGCATCAGGATCATTTGGGATTCGAGTTGGCTTTCTGCGTGGCTTGTTTCAGCCTGAAGGTGCTTCATGTCGGCTACCATGCGGCTGGGGCCTGAGCATGACAGTCTGCCTTCAACGGACAGCAACTTGCCGGCTAAGTATCTGTCCCAGACACGTGTCCCGTAAGAAGGCATGGAATTGAGCAGCATCGAGATGCAGGATCGTATAGAACCCACACGAAGTGTGGACCAGCAAGGAAGAAAATCACTTTCACGAGAACGCATTTTTCCAACCATGAAGCTGACCTACGGGTAGTGATCATCAGTAGGACCTACAGAAGGACTTGACCCGGCTACCCGAACCAACCTGAGGCTTGCACCACCATCAGGAGCTTGTCGTTGTATGACATGGCCTGGTCTGAGTGAACGGATGCAGCAGTACTTGTCACCAATTCTACATCACCCCCCCCCCCCTATAAGGCCATCAACGATGAGTTAACTGTGACTTGAGTTCGTTTCCATCGTATCCGCATCTGCAGTACACTCAGCACACTGTTTCCGATTGCCTTTTTAATACACAGAATTGATAAGGTTCTTGCCGTCGTTTGATTGTCATCATCTTGGTCGCTGCCACTGCTCTGCGGAAGAATGCCCCCACACCCCCCATTTGTGTCGCAGGAGCTGCGGGCGTGCTTCTTGTGCATGGAAGGAGGTTCAGACCTTTTTCGTAAGCACTGCGCTGCACCGCTGCACTCCTATTCTTACTACACTTTCCATGCCCGCTACCTTTTTTGCTTCTTGTTGCTGCTGCTACGCCAAGCTCAACATGTTGATGCTGTAAACATAGGAAGCCGGATCAGCGCGCTTGTCGTGCCCGCAGCTTCCAAGTCTTCTCAGTCGCTGTCATCAGAACGTCTTGAAAGCAACCCAGCCTCGTATAGTGAACAATAGAATCAACACCACGGTCGCAACCACCAAACTCCGCATCAGCTGACCTGCCTACTCTTAGCTCCCCAAGATCCGGCAAAAACCGAGTTTTAACAGCCGCCTCCTCGATCTCCTCTTGCCATGGGAGCTGCGTGCACATCATGCGAAAAATGCAAGATAAAGGTTGGAGATCCCGTGCAGGACTGTGCATGACAATAGTCTGAGTAAGTTCTTTGCATCGGAGTCTTAACATTAGCTGCCGACAGCCTCAGGAGCTCAACACTTTCAAGCAGTCACTTGGCTGAACCTGCCATACATAGACATTTCATGATACTGGTATGTTGAATATAGGAGCTTTTCTGGTGACAGACAGTGGCTCAGGCTGTGCATCGTCCTGCTGTATGTTATTCTGAGATTTATTTCTATGTTGGTCTTGCAAGTCTCCCGCCTTCGTACCCCAGAAAGACGACAACATTTTACCAGGCATTGCATTACAAGAGAAGGCTGGCAGCAGAGACTCCACAAACAGCGTTTTCATCTTTGTGTCCGGGGGGCTTGTAAGCTCGCCGAGGTTCTACAAAGATACGATGCTTGCAGAAGCACGGAAAAAAGGCAAGAGTGGCATCCAAGGCGCAAACATCCCAGACATGTGAAGGATCGGATTTGCCCCTCCCACGGGAAGTAAGACGCAGGAGGCTGATAGACTTTGCGTGTTTCTCAGCCATTCTGGTGCGAGGTGCCTTTGAGGAACTCGGAGGCGGCAACGATGGCCAGGCATTCGGGGTCGGTGACGGTAGCAGGAACCTTCCCTGGTGTCCATGTGGTAAGAGGCTTGGCCTGAGGCCTGCATTAGCCTAAGAGCTATATATGCAAGTAGTGTTAATCTTTAACTACAGCACACCTGCAAGAGGTCACAAGAGAAGAGTGGCCTGGCAGCATGTGGCTAAGACGGCAGACTCTAGAAATCACAGTCAGATTGGCGTGCCGTGTGCAATGCATTAGAGCTGAATAGCCAAGAGCACCCATCAGACTCATCACCTACCCTGGCAACAAGCAGTTGGGTCCGTTGGTTGCTGTGTTTGTACTTTGGAAGAGCCTGGCTTCTAGTTTGGGTCATGGTGCAGAGCCCAGGATGGTCAAATACCTCACCAGAAACAATTATCCCGGAGATGCCAACGCACTGTTCGACTTGGTGGCAGGGTCCCCAGTGCTTCCTGCAGAGTAGCTTCGTGCACTCTTTGCGTCTTTGGACCAGTCCGACTAGATTGGGCTGGACAGCCTGTCGTCTAAGTATAGTTGGCTTTGCTGATTGGTGTACATACATGCGAAGACGCATACCTCTTTTCTCTTCCTAAGCACTTGGGCACCAGAATCCAAATATAGCCGTGCAGGGCCTCTCAAAATCCAAGCCAGCAGCCCAGGATGTTGACAACGAAGGCTTGATCACCAAATCCGAGTTCGGACAGCCCCTGGCAAGCACGGCGTGTTCTTTCAAATAAGCCTGCATGTGCACTCCTTGCTTGTTGGCCTTGTGCTGCTGCTACAGAATCCCGATGATAAGTACAGTTGCACTACGGGGGTGTCATCTTCGGAACTGTAGCCTCCAAAGCCAACGACCTTTGAAAAGATGAAAAGGTTCATTCAAATCCATTTAACGTCCATATTAAGCAACATTCCTGGATCTAGACCCCAGCAAGAAAGCTAAACCATACCGCTAAATGCAAGTTCGCTTTCTTACTGAAATGTTAAATCCTCTGAGCAGCAATTCTCCAAGACTAATCCGAGCTCTTCAACAACAAGGCCTTCTCCCTAAAAGAACAAGCAAAGAGAAACGTGGACTTCCACAAAAGAACCCCGGTGCTTTATTCTAGGGGGTGTTTCTATCAACATGCCCTGTCACGCAAGCTCTGTAAGGCGCAGGTTGGGAACGTTTGATTCCTAATAACTTCTTTTTAGCACGTTTTAGCACATCAGGTCTCAGAATCAGCTTGTCTGTTCTGGTTTCCAGAGCAGCAGCGGAAGTAAGTCTCCCAACACCTTAAGCCCCCTTGAAGGGAGCTCCTGATTCTAATCAGAGACAGTTACACCATAAATAAGAACCCTTTGAAGACCAAATCAACATCAATCTAAAAGCAGTTTCACCAATTATTTTGGAAAGCCTTCCTGTGGTTGTCCTTGAGTCTGTATGTGCGTGAATTGTGAAGGGTTTTCAGCCCAAAAGTGCCCCTGCCTGTAAAGCAGTCTTTGACCCCTTATCTGGCCCAAACAGTTCTTTAGATCTAGGAGCTCGGATTAGGTATTCCCACGAGCACTTTGTATTACAACAGGGGGGGTAGTAAGCGGGTGGATTAAGTGTGGAGTTGCTCTGACTTCTCCGTTGTGGCAGAGAATCCAATCCCAGGATGACCGAGGTGGACTTCATCAAGAAAGGCTGTGGTTATAGGATCCAGTTGGGAGTTTTCAACGATTAGGGATGCCTTATTGGAGGTTCCTAGAATAAGGATTGAAGTTTTTTCGGGGTATGTATTGGGGTCCCCTTTTTATGGAAAGTGCAAGTTGTACCAGTTCTCACAGGTGTAAGTCTGTGTAGACAAGCTTTAGGAAGCTTAGGCTTGATCCCGGCAGCCACGTTAAGCCCAGGGCCCACAGGGATTATAGGTAGGTATCTGTGGCCTATAGGAGCTTCCTTAGTGGTTCTCGAGAGATTGTAGTGAGAAACAACCACGTCCATCCTCATCAAGATGTCATAAACAAGCGCTTCTCGTCTGAAGGTCCTGTGCGGGCCTTCAAGAACTTCTTATGCAAAAAGTTTGGAAAGATCGAGGACGGATCTGACCATAGCTGCTGCTTGTGACCCTGGCAGCATACTGCAGTTTGTTTTCTGTTGAAGTCTGCTTGAAGTCTGCGCTGTTTTGCAAGCACTTTCAACATACTACAATACTGATAAGGAGGATGAGTTGGCTGAATCAAAAGTAAGATGACAGATGCTGGCTCTGCGGCATGCAGTGTTGCCTTGTGTATGAGATGATTTCCATTCCTTGCCGCAGGAAGCCTTCAAAACGCTCGACACGTCTCACGACAAGATGCTGGACTGCCAAGAGTTTGAATCTTGACTCCATTCTGCGGCACTGGTTAGTTCCTGAAAACCTAAGCCAGACACCTCCATGCTGATGCGACTCCCCTAGCCCGCACCAGTCCGGCATCAGATCAGGTAACCAGCGTGGAACGAATGGGCTATGAAGGTGATGCTGACATCATGTTCCAGCACCACGGCGGGAAAGAGATTTGAAGTTTGAGGGCACTTGACTTCACAGATCGTCACCAACGACAGTCCTGAGTGCACCCAACTTTCAATTAGGCCGAGAGGAATTCAGCATTTGTGGTTTTTGTACAGAAAGGCTCCTTGACGAAGACAAAGACGGCAAGATCACGATTGGCGAGCTCAAGAAGCTCATGGGAAAGCTGAAGCGAGTGGAACAGGAAGAGAAGCCATGTGTGACACAGAATGTTTGTCGTGCAGTAGCCTGTCTCCATAAGCTAGCTTCCATTGTGCTTCCCACTATCAACTGAGATGAAAGCGGTTACACCTACTCTATATGACGCCTGTAGCATGTAGCAGCAGCTGGCAATGCTCGTTGAAACAGGTATAGACAGAGCCAACAAACGTGTAAGTCAAGTCGACTTGCAGGAGAACCCCAATGAAGGCGAGCATGAGCTGTCCACTCCGACAAATGACAAGAAAGGGAAGAAGGCTAAGAAGCACAAGTAGCTTCTTTGAGGGGAGCCTGCAAATGCTTTGCAAAAGTCAACACTTTTGGCCCTCTTAGGGACTTCTTGATGCATCTGCTGGCACCGCTGGGCCCTGCCCTGTTCAGCCAGTATGTGTTCTTCCAGGCATTGCCTGCAATTTATGTACCCTTCTGATGCTGGAGGATGGTGCTACTTTCAACCGTACTTGGCTTCGTCTAGTCAAGCTGTTTGATCATAGCGGTTTCTCGAGCAACAAGCTTCAGCTCATCTTCGGTTTCCACCCTCGCGCAAGCGACCGTGGGACCTGCGTTATTGAGTCAGGTAGTGCGGCTTTCCATCAACCAGGAAATTCCTGGCTTGCAAGATGCTGCCATTGCGTTGGATATCGAGGTCATAGGTTTTAGACGTTTTAGATGTTGTAGCATGATAGCATTCATGCTCGATTGAGCACAGAAGAATCACAGGGAATAGGCGCCACCTGCACTCGTCAGGGATCAGGCTTTAATCAAGATTTCCAGGCAGGGTTTGCAAAGAGAGATCAACTCATTGGCAGTGCTTTTCCAGCCTAGGTGCGGCGTTGCAGGCGCGCTTGAAAGCCTTTCACAAGTTGCACAGAATTTTAGGGTCCTCAAGTCAAGTGCGAGTACACAGTCTCAAGCCACCACGGGAAACAGGCCCATGCACAGTCTCCAACATCATTTCAAGCGAGTCGTGTAACGTGTGACAGTGCCGCTTTCCATCAGCATGGACCGTTGAAGGATGGTAAATGCACCATACCCAACGTCTGAATATCATTTGATGAGCTTGTTCGGATTTCTGTAAGAGTCTTTAAGGCAAGAGGCTGCAGGTTAGCGAAGGCTGTTGAATGCCGGAATAAGATGGAATGATGTGATGATCCAATCCTTCAGGTCCGCTCGCAGCTTCGACAAATGCCGAAGTTGCGAGTGTGTATTTCTCTGATCTTATACGGTGTAGGGCTGTGGTGGAGGCAAGCTTGTGGAGTATGTGAGGCTTTCTCCACGAGCGCCTGGCCATCCTGCCTCAACAGCTTTTCAGCTTAGCTCGTAGGAAGGACCAACCGCAGCCTGTTTTCTGACATGCTGCTTGCACTTCTGAGTGTAGGGGGTCGGGTCCCTTTTCTGTGCCGCTGTTTTCGACATTCAGCTGTGCAGCAGTTGAAAGATATCCTCGCAGCCCACCATAGCGGGTAGCGTGCGCATGCAATGGTCTCTCATTGCCATCCAGCAATGTAGCCGTAGCCATCGCAACTTCGTGTTGCTATCTTTTCAGGCGGAGTGCCCAGTTGGCCGGCCTGCTGAGCTGTTCGGCTGTGCCCCGGCTGCTTCATGCGAGGCACCGAAACAAACACTTCAATGTATCAGCTTGGATGAAACATGGTACACGCTTAGAGTGCAGTTCTGAATCTTGCAGCAGCATTCATTGAAGTTTGCGTTGCTGCACTGTGCCCGCAAGCACAAGGCTACGGCATTGCATTGCGACCGAGCGGTGCCCCTTTGTCTGAATGGCATTCTACTGCAGACGCTCGCGTGGGCGTAGCTCGTGCTTGCCATGCCACAGTTGTTGCATACAACAAAATTTCAAATTATGAGTCAGCGTAGCAGACATGAACATGTTTGTGTCAGCACTGCTCGCTGAGGCCAGAGCTCTCTGCCACCATTTGTTTCCGGTGAGCCTGCAGGCCACCGCCTTTGCTGTTGCAACAGAGCCAGCCGTCATTTGTGCATACAACTTCTCAAGCAGCAGCATTGGTCTTCCCTTCGCAAGTATAAACGCGTGTTCTTAGAGCTTTCGAAGACACCTGACTAGCAAGCCGTGGCAGGTGGATACAGAATTGTCGCGCCTGCCGGGGTCCCTGTTTGAAGTGGCTTCAAGATGCTTTCTGCGTCCCGCAGATGGAGGACCATTTCTCTCCGTGCTTATCACGGAAACACGGAAACTAAGAAATCTTGAGCCATCTGACGCTCGCTGCTGACCACAGGTATCAGCATTTGGCCAAAGAAGTTGGTTCTTTGGAGGCCAGGATTGCTTGAGGCAAGTATTTTGGGGCCCTCAAGACATGCGTAAACATATTAATAATACCATTAATATTGGCAAGAGTAATCATCCGAATAACACTAATAGCATTAACAACGGTTTTAAAGCTGACCGCATCTGAGCACAGTGTCCTTGCGAAGCCCTGGTGCAGGTCCGGGCTCTCAGCCGGCGGCCAGCTGACTTTACTGCGTTGCGTGCTGGGATCCCAGGCGGAGGACTGGGGTTATATAGGGAATCTACGGTAATACACGGTATAGGGTGATATGGGGTGATACGGGGTTGTATAGTTGGTTCTTGGCAGTGTAGAAGTGCAAGCACCTGCTGCATTGGAGTCTTTTGATGCTATTGGGCTGCCTGCCACACTGGTATGACCCCTCATCAGGCTCGTTGTCATGTTATGGGGATCGTTGGGTTTTGGGGCATGTGTGAAGACAATATTCAACAATGGATCAGTTTCCTGGCACATGCTCGAACTTGTGATAAGGCCTATGCCCCTCGCTGCCCAGCCAACGAAATGCAGGCAGGCAAGAATTGTGTTCGGCAAGGGCATGCAAGGACTAGAGTTTAGCTTTGCATCCCACACTGAAGATGTGGCGTAGACAGGGGCTGCTTCAGATGAGCAGCGACATTTCTTTGCGTAAGAGAGTAGAAGGCTAGGTGCGACGGTGTTTTTGCATTTGGGCTCAGCGTTCCTTTGGAAACTAGATAGGGGCCGCGGATTGAACAAGATAGGCCACCGTTTCCTTTGCGATAAGAGCCGAGTACAGATTCCAACATGGCGAAGGAGATCAGGTGATTTTCTCAAGGTACAATACAGGACTTATGTAAGGTAAACGAGCTGAGGGGCCATGGATAAAAAATGCCGCATAAGGCCCAGGTCATGAATAAAAGCCGACGCTCAGATGATGCTTGCAAGGGGTGGAGCCATGTAAGGTGATAGGGCTACTGGGTGGGGAGCCACTGCACTTGCAAGAAAGCACGACACTCCACATCATTTCGCATGGGTGCAGAAAAGACAAGGCTTTCCACGTCGCCTTCCCGGGGCCACTGATTGTGGCGCCGAGCTCGACAGCCGACAATACGGACATTCAGGCTCGAGGACCCTGAGGATGAGGGTCTTCTTGGCGTGATGTTGTGACAAGTGGCCAGCTGGCTCCGAGTCTTGCATTTCCTCCCTGAGCTCTCTTCTGCTATGCAGGTTCTGAGCGTGCAGAACTACGTAAATCAGTACAAGGAACGAGGTCAACCAGTGACAGTGTCGGAACATTCATCAAGTGCTCGGAAAATTTCCTCTACGAGAGTGTCTGTGTGCTGTCAGGCTCTTGCAGATTTTTGACCCCATGTGTTTTTTGGTCCCTTACGCAAAGCTGCAAAGTCAGGCATGGTTGCGCGATGCCTTCTGGGCTGATGATCTCGACGTACCTACTTGCCTTAAGCCAGCTCGCCCGCTGCATTGGCTTAAGTAGAGGGGATCTTTGAGCGCCGTCCTTGGTGCGGTATTCAGTGCCTTGGACAAACTAAGTTGAGGCTTTGTTGTAGCTGTTGTACGCTGAGAGTCTCATATGTGATGCTGTGTAAGAGCCAGGTGTAGCATCAAGTGGCGGTGTTTAACTGAGGAGATGCCTGTGGATAGTTTGGACTTGGAGACATGCTCCTTCTCGGTGCAGGGCTCCACCTTCGAGGCGCGCGAGCTGTGATTAAAACCAGGATGTGGGCTAGCTTGCGCTGATGGCAAATTCATGGAAGCTGCAGGTTCCAAAGAGGTACCAGATCGATGAGCCCATGAGCGGTGAGCTTTGAGGGCTTGATCCCATATGCTTCCTCATAAAGATGAGACCTGTTCGTGGAGCATCTGATGATTCTCCCATCTACGCCAAGGTCACGGAGCCTATGGCATTGTGTGCTCAGCCGAGGATCAGGAGTGCTCGGTTGCATGTGCCTGGCATCGCTTTCTGAGCTTCATCCAATTTACTCTCCTCCACTTCGGCCCCTCCGCTCGCCATTTGGCCCGAGAGAGCTGCTGAGTCCACGACTTGTACACGCAGGGTCTTTACAGAGGCCAGTCAAACTATGTCAATCAGCCTGAGATCATTGGACCCTCTGACCATGCAGAGGTCAAGGATGTCGGACGACTTTGCAGTGGTCCGCTCTATCATCGAGGCGCAGCCTACGCACAGAAAGCCGGAGCATCCGACGTCTTGCGCAGGATAAGTTGCACCAAGAGTTCTACAATGTCCCCACCAAGGCCCTTTCTGACGGTCTGCATCACATGTTTGTCGCCCCTGCCTGGCGCAAAAGCATTTATGGCAGAAGCAAAAACTAACTGGCAGCAAGGACCGGCCACGGCCCACTTCATGTCACCTTTGCGCAAACACCTGCAACAGTCGCAGTATTCCGTCCGCATTATCTGAGCACCGGCAGAAACCCCCCAGCGGAAATTTATCTGAAGATTCAAATAAAGATTGGCCGCATCATTGTGGGTGATAGCTGGCGGCTGTGTTGGCGTCTCAGTAAAATAAGAGATGCGTCCGCATCAGCTATTCCTGGGCCGCATCAGTCTGCGACAGGCGCGGGTGATAGGACGCCGCTACTTGAACCAAAGGTTCAAAATCGAAAAGGGTTTTGGCCGCGGCTCATTTGTGGTTCAAGAGCTGGTCTCCGAATCGATGCAAACTCTAGATGCACAGCATTTGGCTTGGATCACGTTGGATGCATTTTGAGGGCGCTTGGAATTAATCCGTTTTCATAGCAGTCAGCTCAGGACGCAGTGACAGGCCATGTGATTTCAACATAGCTGTGGACAGGGGTGAAACATGGCTGACAGCCACCTCTCAGCGTATCTGGCCCTCAGTTCCCAAGGATAGCAAAGCAATCCCGTGCCTCAAGACTGACTTCGAGCGGTAGCCCGCATTAGCTCTGTATAGGGTAACTCATGAAAACCTAACGCCGCCGAATGCTTGCAGGACCTGCCTCCTCGCATGCAGCCCAGGCAGCTACCAAACCTTCAGGAGCACGGCATCTTGCCGTGGGTAAGTGCTGCCGGAGCATTTGCCGTGCGGTGCGCTATGAGGATGCCATGAAGATCGACTGGGACGACTGGAAGAGCTGGGTAAAAGACCCAGCTGGGTAAACGTGCTACTGGTGTTAAGCAAACATGACATTTTGTACAAAATTGGCTGAGGAGTGGATGCAGCCTGGCTGGAAGGGGGTGCGCCCGGCCAGTTTCTGTGGGTGCGAGTTTACAGTTAATCTGCCAGAGGTTGGATGCTATGCAGTTTCTTAGCCTGCAGGTGAAGATGCACTCGCAGTGTGTCATCAACGCGGATGGATCTGCTGAGATTCGTAGTGTCTTGCTCTTACCAGCCTCAGCACTAGAAGCAAAAGATTGGTCAGAATCATAGGGCCTTTGGCATTGGATGGCGCTCATGTCTGCCGAGGTGTGGAAGTGAGGCGAGCTTTCAATCGCTCTGGGACTGTATATGAATCAAGCAGCCAAAGTTTCAGCAAGTGATTGAGAGGAGATTGCAGAGACAGCCTGCTCACGTCGCCAGATGTCACCAGAGTCTTTGCCACAAACACTTTGTGCTGACAAGACGGCATGGCTGCTGTGCAACAGGGATAGGCAATCAGGCAGCACCAATGCTGCAATGAGCAAACGGTGCAACTGGCACTCCAGAAGACAACGACTCACTGGCAATGCTGCTGGCCAAAAGGTCCGAACATACCCCTTCAAACCAACCCAAGAGGAGATAGTACTTTGTTGGCTTGCAAAGCGGGTGGACGTCAGTTGGTATCAAAGCATGAGCAAGAGAGTGTCATCCAGCACGCCCCGTCCCTTGATGTTGCAATTATTTCCTGTGTTTGCTTGCCTTCCAGAGTGTTTCTGCAGCATCGGGATGGACTTAGATGCGCTCATCCTATGTTGCTGCTTGCTCGTCAACATGTGTCAGGAGATTGATGAGAAGGTTGCTCTCAAGAAGATCGAGGGTGTTTTCGAGCACATCACGATCGCTAAGGCTGGTAAGTGCCGGAAGCCCACATCAAGGAGCCGCCCACATCAAAGCCATAGACATAGACCGAAGCCACGCCCCTTTACAACCAACATGGACGAGCAAATCAGAACACGTGTCTTTGGACGAGTGGAACTAGGTGGCCTTTCTCTCTAGCCAGTGCTGCCCCCTGCCCAGCGCACGTTGCGGGAGCTCCGGATCCTGCGGCATCTTCAGCACGAAAACCTGATGCAGGCCGTGTGGGGAGGGATGATGCTCAGATTTTCATGTGTGTCTTAAGACTTAGCAGCCCGACATCCGTGTTGACCGTCAAGATGCTGCGTCTGTCTGTCACTGCCAGGTTAAGAACATCTTCATGGTGGGTTCGAGGTATGCCTTCCAGGTGCACCTTGCATGCGGTAAAAACGCGCTCAGCTTTCGCCATGGATCGTCAGTGCAGACTCGGCATCTGCAGAATCAGCAGACCCTCATGGCAGGAGCTCTATGTAGTTTCGGAGCTCATGGAGACAGATCTGGCATCTACCTTGAGGTGAGCTGCCCCAGTTCTGTTCCACATGCCCACATGCTCATTGGCAGAGGCGCTTTGTAGTTCCCTGATGCAGCTTCTGCTGAGGTCTTCTCAGATGCTGACAGATGATCACTGCCAGCCAAGTCCCTGTCTTTTCCCGCACAAATGTAGCGCGAAATCCTAGTGGCCCCCGTCCATGATATGTGACGGTGACTTCGACAGCAAAACAGCATGGCGAAGTAGAGCTCTTGCAGTCCAGGTTCTTTCTGTACCAGATCCTCCGTGGCATGAAATACGTTCATTCAGCTCAGGCGCGGCAGTTCAACCGCATGTTTATGGAATTGTATGGAGCAATCATTGATTCGCCTATTGTTCAAATTATTCCAGCGCAACAGGACCTGTAAAGTGATAGGAGCAAACTCGACAGCAGCAGGTAACTCCAAGGCTCCAAGGCCTCACATGTGGCATGGATACCAACGAGTGTTCATGGTTTGGGGGAATTCTTGCTGCATTGGGTAGAGCGCCCGCTACATTCCACTGCCTTCTTGATACGGAGCCCTGAGCTTGCAAAAGAGGTTGAGGTCACTCATGAGGAGCTGCGCAGACTCTGGCGAACATGGATGGACACCGCAGAGCGCGTCTATCTGGACCATTCATCATCAAGTTTGTGTTTCGCGCAGGTCATTCACCGAGATCTCAAACCGCGAAATCTTCTTGTTAACAGCAACTGCGACCTCAAGGCCTGTCATGAGACGTCGTTGGGAGTCGTTGGACATGCATAGCATGCAAAAGCATACGGCGTACGTGCAGCGTGATGCCTCTCAGATAGCGTTACGGTTTGGCTGAAGAATTGCGGCTCTCAGCACGTTCATAGTTTGACTGTGTCAGTTATTTATGTTGTCAACATTTCTGATTGCCTGAATGCCTGGAATTGTGGTGTGCCAGTTGCGGAAATATGGTTATTTGGACCCGTAAGCTGAAAGCACGAAAGTCCAAAGGGCATCTGGAGCATCATCTACAAGTAGCAAGATAAATCGTCTAGTATGTACTGAGCCTGTATTCTTTGGGCAGCTCTCGGAGTTTGCTGCGATCATTTTGATTCATGTTCCGGGCTATGCTCAGATCTGCGACTTTGGCTTGGCACGGGTACGCTTCTCGGACAAGGAGTGGGTGTGCCCAATGACCGAGTGCCCCTCGTCACCTCAACGTCACCTCAATCTCCTCCTGACAATTTTGGATTCTTTATATAGGGGTAATGGAAAAGAAAATGGAAACTACTATAAAATAGTAGAGTGTATATTCATGGACCGGCAGGTACGTCTGTACACGATGGTACCGTGCTCCGGAGGCATGCCGCTTCGCAAAAGGCGAAGGCTCTCTCTCAAGTGTTCGGGTCTAGCCCGCCCCAGGTGCTGTGCTCGTGGACAGATTATTCCTGTAAGCAGCTTAGAGGCCGCAAGGCTAGGGCGGTAGCCAGCCGGCTACAGCCCCTGGGCGAGAGTTGTTGGTCGAGCTACGCGCTTGCGCTGAGGTGCCATTGACATCTGGCCGGAAGCTCACAGCTTCCAAGACTTGCGTGCCGCTTGCATGCAGCACCCACCAGCAAAGCTGGGGCGACCTTGAGGTCAATTGGTTGCATTTTGGCTGAGATGTCGACTCGCAGGCCACTTTTCCCTGGGCATGGGCCCTGGAAGCGCTGCCTTCCTGAGGGGTTATTGAGCAGCTGACCGGGCCAATTCTTTTCTACCAGCCAAGGCAAAGTACACAAAACCAGCTGGACATGATCATTGATCTTCTGGGCTCTCCCGATTCTCAGGCTACTGCCCTATCACAGGATAATACTTCTGAGTCATTGACCTTGACTTCACAGGAGCTCATGAAGATTCCAAATGAAAAGTGCCGTAAGTTCATCAAGTGGCAGCCTTGGCTTCCGTAGGTGCCACTCCTACTCTCGTACGCCTGCTTTCCTTAGTGTCTTCTGTGCTGAGGTCGCTGCCTGTCCACAAGAAGAAAACCTTCCCGGAGGCTTGGCACGGACCGCAGAGACCAGAGAGACGGTTGTCGGGCTGCGAGCAGCCATTCTGGAGCAGTCGGCTCATGGCTGTGATTGACCTTGTGCTTGACAAAACTGGCTTCACTTGCAGGTCTTCCCATCCATGCCAGAGCCAGCGCAAGTGGGGTGCCCGGCCCTGCACAGGGTCTACCAGAGTCTACCACTTACTCGCTAAGGACATCCTAAGGAAGATGCTGCGCTGGGATCCGGTGAGCAGGCTCAGCGTCGAGGAGGCAACTGCCTAAGCATCCATGGAAGTGTCAGCATCAACCGTACCTCCACCTGCACGCCGGCCCATTTGTCTATCCGTCCCTTTCTGTCACTTCATTCTGAGTGCGTGGAGGTTGTGCCATTCCAGACTTGCACTGAGTGTCCATCGTGGCCTCGAACAGGCTATAGCGCATCCTTACTTGGACAAGTTGCACTGCCCCGAGGCGCGCCGCCCTTTTAAATGCAGCCTCTCTTATGGGCATCGTCAGCTGAGTTGTTGCAGGACGAGCCAACAAGGGAGCCACTGGACACCACTGACTTTGAGCACCTTGGCCGCAAGACCAGAAGACATAGACAGGATACACAGCCACATGGTTTTCATCGTCAGTCTCGTATAGAGTGGCCTCTAAACAACGATCAGGCTCTGCAGCAGTATCACTACCTGAAGTCGGCTTTTCTGGGGCAAAGCCATCTAATGGAAATGTGGCCCTGGGGCCCTGCAAGCTCCAAGGGTGTACGTATGAGGCAGAAGATCTTTTACGAGCTGACGACTTTAAATGCAGACTTGAGATGCTGAATCAATGTGAGTGTCGGGCGTGTCACTTATTTAGGTCAACAATCATGCACGAGCATGATGCCAAGACCTTGTTGGGCTTGGGAGGAGGGCTGAACGTTGCATCGGCGATTTCCGCGCAAATCGTTTTGGATAGCGAGTGATTTATAAAAGGATTCGACAACCTAGTCTCAGGCGTGGGGGCCGGAATGGGGGATATGCGGGATTTGGTTGTGCAAGAGCAATCCTGTCGTAGGCCGCAAGGTCTTGGGAGTGGCATAGAATAACATGCGTGTGGCTTGACTTCACGCCAGACGTGTGGCGGGTTGACTTCAGGCACAGTCACTTAAGTGGGCCCCCTGTATCTTCGTATTGTGGCGCTTAATACGGCTTCTCACCACATAGTTGGACCCAACTACATGTAGCTAGTACGGCATCTCGTGATCCCAACAGCTACACCAACAGCTACAAAATTTCCTGCCAGGTTCGAACGGCGGAAGATCACTCTGCCAGCTCTTCGTGAGGCATCATCCGCCCATAGACAACGTTTTTGCGGAGCCATCACGCGCCAGCCTACTGGTCTTGAAGCCTCCAAAGCCGCGCAGGAAATTTTTAGAGAAGCTCTGGAACACTTTCCAGAGGTGAAAGAGCGTTTCGATCAGGATGCTCTACGGCATGTGGCAGTGGTAAACTGAAGCAGCATATCTCAGACTGAAGCGTTTCAGGAGATTCGCTCAGGGAATGAGAAGCCGCACGACATCCTACAGCCTGGGCCTCTGAGTAGCTTGTCACACTGCCCTTCGTGTTGGAGCTCTGGGCTTCGGAGTTTCAAGGAGAGAAACAGAAGAAGATATAAGAAGCATAGCTCAGTACCTCGAAAGCCATGTCTGGCTTCAGCGGCTTCAGGTTCTGTCGATTTTTGATGCGAGGCTTCTGTGCGCTTAGGTATCGGCTCCTGCTACCCGGGGAATCGCAGTGCGCCGGCGCATCCTGCTGCCCGTGCTTACAGTTCTCACAGACTCACGAAGCTTCTTTTCCTCATCTGTTTCCTGTTCTTGTGGTTGTATCTTTGGCCCTGTGCCCTCAGCATCCTGTCAGACCTGGCCAGTGTGCCCTCAGATTTGCTTCGACCGATGCTCATACTTTTACCTTGCTCATGTTCGGTCGAAACAGTGCAGGTACTCATCAGATGAAGAGTCCGGTGAGGACATCTGAGGTGAATGACTGGTGAATGAAAACACCGGCAAGCAACCGGAATCAGCTTTGGTCAGATGCTAACACTGATTATATTTACAACAACTCCAAGCAACTAGCCAATCTTCATCACATGGCCCAAGTCCAGCCCTGGTAGAGCTTTTCTCGTGCCAAGCGGCTGAAGCCGCCAGGCTCGTCTCATTGCTTTGGGTTGTGGCTTGTGGTCTTCTGGCCTTCAGGCGAAGAGGTTTGGGTCGCCTGTCCAAACAGGGCAGCAGAGGATGCTGCTCGCGCGTCAGTCCTTCAAGAAGTTTCACCTCCTTTATGTCAAGCACGGAGCGTTGTTGCTTGGCCAACCCTGGCACAAGCAGCTTGACGGCAAAAGCTTCGCTTTGCATCCAGCACCCCTGCTGTGCACTCTCTCAACTTCAAGATCTCAATGACATTGGTCCACGTCGTCTGACATTGTTTTCTGGTATTCTTATTGCCTCGTTTTCTTATTGCCTCTTGAGACATGGCAGACATGATTTCCAGGCAACACACGCTGCAGATCCAACCTGGAGTCTCTGCTAGAAAGCGTTGGCTCATGAAAGTCCATGCAGTCAGGTATTTCACTAAAACCATGAGTGCCTGCGAAGCATGGACATGCTCGTCACTCAACTCTTTCTAATGCGGTCCAATACTCTACAGTCGCGTTTGGCTTAGGCTAGCACTTCTTGGCAACCAATAGTAGCCTATCGTTTGGCCCTCCATGCATGGCTCCGGAGGCAGTGTGTCTTGAACATTGACGGACTTACTTGTCCAGCATGTGCAGAACTGGCTAATGTAGGTAGCAGAGCAGCTGTCAGAGCTTCCTGATGCAACACCATCCTGTCAGAATTGAGTTGTGCAGAATCGATAGCTTGTCTAGGAGTAAGCAATCAGAGACGGATATACAGGAAGCTTTGTGGTCCCCTTCGCATGTGCGCATGAGGGACATTCCCAGATCTCGATCGATATCTAACGGGCTCACACAATGCGCAAGGTTCGCGACCGAACATGGCCCTTTCACAGTATGGTGTTGGGCGTTCCTACTTGGGTAAGGTCAGACGTCAATTCAGCTCAGAACTTTTGGCCAAGGATGCGCAAGACACCCATTTCTGTGCTACAGTAGGAGGTCCCAAAGCCATGTGACTTCAATACAGGCCTCTATGAGCATGGCAGCGCCTCCTCGTGCAGCCATTTTGGCACAGCATCTGCGAAGCTGGCAAAGCAAGCCCCAAGCATTGCCTGTAGCCATGCAGAAAGCATACGGCGCCGATGAAAGGCACGAAGAAGTTGAAGATGGTGCCGGCCATCAGCTAGAGCATGGAAAAAATCGTTGCATCTCTGCAGGGGCTTGAACATCCAGACAAACTACGCTTGCCGGTGACAAGGGCGGTGTCTCGTAGCTGCTCTTCTTGCGACTCGTGGCATCGGTTAAGGTGTCGAAGATGATGAGTTGAGTGATTGCGATATCAGACCCCGACGTACAAGGTGGCTTGGCTGAAGCAGGACTGTGCATGTTTGAGCGAAGGAAGTCCAGCGTAGAGACTTGTTTGAATACAATTCTCAAGGCCGTGAAGCTTGAAGACGTAGACCTCACGGCATAGAACCCCAGAACCCAAAACCTAAACCCTAGACGTGAGCTGGCGACTGAGGACGTTGGTTTGTCTGAGGGCTTGGTGGTCAGGCAGTAATGGTGGCAAACAGTCAGATCAGCCTGGACAGCGAGAGCGGGGAGAGGAAGGAATAGGGAGGGGAACAAGTCTAAAGCGGCAGTGGGTTTTTTGCAGGTAACCTGCAAGGATCCCCAGCAAAGGCATCTCAATCCAAGTTGCACATCCGCAAACAGAAGTACTCCAAGGCGAAGACGCGAGGCTCCTTGCTGGCGCTGGTCTTCAATGGCTCACCGCCAGGTCCTGCCACGGTGGTTTGTTTGCGGTGGCTCTCAAGAATTCCAGGGTTGGTGAATGCTCATCACATGGGTTCTCAGCGTACGAACCCCCCTCAACCTCTTGCGCACTGACCCGCAGCCTGTTCGTTGGTGACGACTCTCACGGACGCTGCCAACGACATCTACTCTGTATCCTGGTCTGGGCAGCTACTGATGCATCGTAGACCCTCACCTTGTTGTCACCACTCCCCAGCAGCCATGAACTGGCTGCCCGGGGTGGTGACAACAAGGTGCGGGTCTATGATGCAGTGAAGGGCCTGGCGAGATTGCGGGCGGGAAGTGGTTCGGATGAAGTAGGAAATTTTAGGGTTCGCTTAGTGTTACAGTTGGCCAAATGACGGCAAGAGAGCGAGCCTGAAGGATGACCTTGCTGGACAAGAAGAAGGTCCCGACGCTAAACATCTCCAGGCACTTTCTGGCCTTCTGGTCGTCTACGCTGCAGCTGGCTGTTCTTCGCTGTTCGACTGCCTCTCAGGACAAAGCTGGAGAAGCGCCCCCTGGCCCTATGGGCATGGGTCGTGACGGAGCCCGAGAAGTAGGTGTAGCATTCAGATAGTTCTCCAGGGCACCATGCAGCCAGCTTATGCCATGCGCAGTTTGAGTCCACAGGCTGTCAAGATGCGACGTGTGCACCAACTGCAGGGTGCTAGCATGTTGCCAAGCGAGAGAAAAGCCAAAAAGTCTCTGACTTGGTTGCTGCTGTTAGATGCAGGCGCTGCAAGATAATGATATTAGGTTTCAGTGACGAAGACTTGCGCCAATCATCCAACAGCCTCCAACATGTGCTTGGGAGCATTGCAGATCCATACGGCAACTTGTTAAAGATGGCTATGCCTTGGGAAGGACCCCGGCACCAGCCTAACACGAAACCCTGATTACCAGTATTCCTCCCTTGAAATCCTCATATAACCGTGGCAGAAAGATGCACCAATTCCGATTCTTGAGGTCCAGGACAGGCCTCTCAGAGGTTGCCACAGTGCATGCAGGGCAAGATGTCCTTCTCAACAGTTGTACCCAACAAACCCTGGACCCTCAGTAGGATGCAAGATGCCTTTGCAGAGCATTCAGCCCAAATCTCCTCTTGTTGCCTCGTGGCACAGCCCCCAGCCCTAACCCTGAACCTTTGTTTGGGGTTTTAACTGTCAGGGTTTGGAGTTTGGCCCTGCGCCCCAAACCCTTGCTCCGGGTTCTATTGTTCTATCTATCGGATTCTATCGGGGTTTAGGGTTTAGAGTTTAGGATATAGAGCATGTGCCTTTCCATTAGGCTTCAAGGCTCAATTGCAATTTTCTTTGACTGATCGACAGAGAGCCTTCTTGCCCCACCAAATGGTAAAGCTGTTCAATGAAAGTCCGGCCGCAATGGAAAAAGGGCATGTGCAAACCTGCCAAGACTGAATTAGGTTGCAATGACATTCACAGGAAATGAAAGGTCAATTTTGTGGACAGGTTTCTGGCGAAGACGTCACCGAAGGAGAGGGGGACGATGTCGGGGCCTCGGCGGCTCTAAACATGCAGTGGGTCGTGCAAGTCCAAGGCGCAGGGTTTTTGTTCGCAGTGCTTGAGGTGAGCAAAGCCCTCCATCCAGCTGCCTTGACAGAAGAGCGGGCTGCTTAGAGTAGAAGTAGCGTGTCGCCAGTCTCCAGCTTGGCGTTGCTTTGAAGCTTTTCTGCAGATGTGGGTCATGGATGCCAGAGTTGGGTTGCTCTTACATAGCATGATCCCAGCCTGAGGGAGTCCTCGGATGTCGAGGCTGGTTGAGAGCCGTGGATTATTCTCTGTTGTTGGCTTGCTTTGGCCCGGGTCTTTGCCAAGTTGTTTACTAGCAAGTGTCCAAGCAGCTGTAGATCTACAACCAAACCTGACAGCTGCAGGAGTCACTGCGGCTTCTCTGGGCCCTTTGTCAGGCCGGCTCATGAGGTAGCTGAGACATGCCGCTAGAGTACAAAGTAAACAAGTTCAAGCTGAGATTTGGTGACTTGCGACGTGTGACAGCAAACTGCTGCAATCCTTCAAATGCAGGAAGCTATATTTGTGCTGCGAAGGCCCAGAATGGCCTCCGTCAAGAAGAAGAGCTGCTGCACCAGGTGACTTGTCAGGGGCAGTGGTGGCTTCAACAGGAAGGGATGGTTGTTTGAGGATTGGCTTTTTGACTCTGCATGTCGATGACTGTTTTTTCTGTCCCAGGTTTTAGATGGTGCTTGTCGTGCTGAAGCCCTAAGCTGTTTGTTAGTGCCGCCGGGAAGCCGGACAGGCTACTGTGGTGCAGGAAGAGGTCTCGCGGCAATGCCGGCACCTAAGCAAAAAGTCTCCACTTCGAGCACCGGACGCGTAGGGCAGGACCTGTCTTCACCCGGTCCCATTCTTCAGGCGATGCACTTCGGCACGAGCTGCTGCATGTGGAGGCATCCCATGTGTGTCGCCTACCACATTGCTTGGTAAGCAGCTGCATGAATCCTGCAGGCTGAACTTCAAGAGTCTCGTCATGCGACCGTTCCACCTTCACCCAGGCCTCTCTGCATCAGGATCTTCAGGGCATTTGGCATAAGGATTTGTCGCAAGGGGTGTCAGGCAATCTCAACCTGGGCTTGGCTGTGAGAGTCGGATCATTGCGTGAAGCTTGGCTGTGAGAGGTCCTTGGAGTACGATAGCGAGGACTGGGTCCTGCATTATGCCCTTCCCACGCCCTAGCTACCCTAGTTGTAAGGACGATCAAGAGCTCCGCCGAGCTCAACAAGACCACGAGGACTTGGAGCGAGCTCTGCACCAGGCGACGGGATGGCCATAACATCAGAGACGTTCTGCTCATTTCACGGTGAATGCAGTTTCCACTCGTGCAAGGCTGAGCTCCGTCTCCGTGAGGCTTGGCGGTTTCGTACAGTGGGAGGTTTGTCTGGGCTGACCAATGCTATATCCATACTCTAGAAGCGGAGAAGCTCATATGCGCTCTCTGATCTGAGCACTTCTCAGGTGCAGTTGCAACCAGAGCATTGTGGAGACTCTGCAGAATCTTGGATCATCTTGGATCAACACGCTGTGATTCCTGG